ATCTAAGCAAATAAGTATATATTTAGAATTGTTGTTTAAATGTTTTCTGATCTTGAGTGTTTGTTAGTCGAGTTCTCTGTGGAATCGCACACATGCGAAATTTTATGATAATATCACATTATGTAAATATAAATAATTAGAAGGGGATTTCGTTTGTTTTATAATCAATTTGAAAAAGAAAAAACAAAAATAACTACAAAACAAATGCGGGCAGCTTATAGCTACTAAGATTCGGGCCAATCTGTTCGTTCAATAAGGAAATACTGTACTTAATTATACAAGGCAGTGATAGGTGAAAGAATTCTTAATCGGATGCACTGCGTATCCTATCATATCATATATAAAATTGATATACTTTATAAAATAGATGTATTTGCGTAAGAAAGAAGCAATCATGCAGTGGGCGTCTGGCAAGTTTTAGATATATATTATATGAATTACAGTCGAATCTCCTTACTTTGTACCCCGAAATTTGTAAATCGAAAATCGCGACAAATGGAAAACATTCTATCCTGTATAAATCGAAACGGAAACTTATCCCCTTGCCATTTCGAATTGTCGGGACTCGGCTGTAAAAATATTCTTATATTTCTCTGTATATAGATAGCCAAATGAGACAGTTAAGATCGTCACAGCATTGATCTACTAGAGGGCATACACGTCTGCATGCAAGTTCTATCTATGTACATATATATGTTATGCATGTATGAAGATAGACCATTGCTCGAGGTCGATGTCTTAAGACTTATACGGCCGATCTTCTCATAGATCAATGCTGTGACGATCTTAACAACGCCAGGCCAAGTATGTGAATGCCAGCAGAAGGATGACAGTTAGACTATGCCCTCGTTGTCTTATGCTAATAGAGGCGGAGCTGCCGTCCGTGGTCTCATTGGAACCGGATACTAGGGGAGCCGTCCAGCGCAGCTCCTCGTCCACGTCGTTGACGCTGCGCGCACACTGCATCCATTTGCGGGAGGAGAGCTTGGGGCGAGCGTGCGCTACCTTTACGAGATTGTCGTCGAACTCCCAGTAGCCCAAGTTCTTGAAGAAGTAGGTCTTTCCATTCGTATACTGGAAGGCCGCATCTATATTGTAGCCCACGCCCGCCCAGAAGGACATGTCCCGGGGATAGTCCAGCTCCACCTTGCCCGTGCTGTCGTCAATGCGCCAATAGAGCGTTCCACTCGTCAAATACGTCCTATTATTGTAGCCCCATACGAAGGCGGCATCCACATGACTGAGAGAGGGCGGCAGACCCAGGCTGGTCAAAGGCTGTGGGTAGCCCGGCGCCAGGGTGACCGAATCGAAGACGTAATACTGCCGGCCTGTGGGTGGCAAGGTAAACAGTTTAATAGAGCTCGTCATATAGATAGATAGAGATAGAGGTTTATTTACCAATAAAGAACACAATTTGACGCTGTTGATTTTCATAGACGGCATCCACCTTGTTAAAGTCCTCGGGCAGTGCGGACCAATGGCGACGCGTTTCCGTCGGATAGCCATTATACAAGCCTTTGGCACCAATGCGCCAGAGGAACTACAGAAAACGAGAGTAAATATTAACGATAAATATAGCAGAAATAAACATTAAATGAAGATTGAGTTAGTGTTGACCTCCGATATACATATATACATATGTACATATATCGATGGCCCAAAAGTGAGTGAATTTACTATGGGACTCCTCTACCGAAAAAAGATTTGGTTTCTAGCCAATACAAAAATAATCTAAACATATATCTCTTTAATAACTTTATGGTATGCCTGATCTAATGCAATTAATTTTTCATTAATGAACGAGACCATTTACTATGGTAACGTACTCAAAATATCTGAAATGTGTATCTGGAAATGAGGTTAGCATCTAGTATATTATTTATACCTGTCCTCTGAAGATGAACAACTCTCGGCGTATCATGGATATGGCATCGTATGAGGTCATACAGTTGTCCGGCTTAGGCTTGCGTGGTTTATGTGGCTTTTTGTGTCGATGCACTGTGGGGTAGTTGTAGGGTCTGTGAGTGGGATAGGTGGGTGCTGTTCTTGTCGTCGTCTTTGTTGTCACTGGTGCTCTCGTTGTGGTTGATGTCCTCGTTCCGAATTCTCGATTCCGCTGCCTTTCTCGTTCTCGCTCTAGTTCCAGACGTCGTTCACGTTCTCGTTCTCGTTCTCGTTCTCGCTCCTCGCGCTGTCGTTTATATTCGCGCTCTAGCTCTTGCTGACGCACCCGCTCTCGTTCTCGCTCCCGCTCTCGTTCCCGCTCTCGTTCCCGCTCTCGTTCACGCTCACGCTCACGATCTCCCCCTCGCGGATAATAGTTGGGATAATAGGTTGGATAACGATTGGGATAGTTGGGTCGCTGCTGCGGATAATAGGTGAGCGAGCGCATTGTGGTCGTGGTTGTTGTGGTGCTCGTCGTGGTTCCCGGTCGATAGGCACCCCAGACCTTCTCCTTGGCCCCATAGAGCTCCTGTATACCGATGCGATCATCGTCGGGCAATTTGCCATCGACCTCATTGTTCTGATACCAGGGGAACATGACCGCATTCGAGTCCGAGGAGTGGCCCAGCCCCAGCGAGTGGCCCAGTTCATGCAGCGCCACATTCAGAAAGTTGGTGCCTGTAAAATGCGACAACAAGCGATTGGTTAATGGCATCCAGCGGCCAAGGCAAAAATATATATACAAAAAAAAAAAAAAAAAAAAAAAAAAAAAAAAAAAAAAAAAAAAAAAAAAAAAAAAAAAAAAAACAAGAAACGTAAAAAAGAAGAAGAAATGAGGAGACAAGAACGCGTCGTCGCCTTGACGACTTTGTAAGTGGCATAAAAATGGCGTCGTTGCAACATTTACAATGAAGAGCACACGCTGCTTTCACATGTGCTCGACTGCGAGATACTCTGTAACTTGAGCGTAAAGTATTGCCCGCGTCATGGAAACTAAAGGATTTCTGCTAAGCAGACAGATTGTTATTTACTTTTTCTTTTCATTTATACATATATTTATGATTTCGAATCAAACACCACATTAATCTGTGAATAGACATTTTTTATCAACATTAAGTTGCGCTTATCAGAAAAGTGAATGCTTAGAAAGTCTCAAATGCCACGTGTATGCACTTTGAAATTACAGGGTGTTTAAGGATTGGTCGTTGCTGCGTTTGGCCAACGTCACGCATCATGCTGACAGTTTTTTATTGGCATTAAAAACCATTAAAATGGTCGACATTGGATTCTGGTTTCCGAGCGGGTTCTCGCCCGGGCTTCGTTCGGCTGCGGGTTATACGGTTCTTTGGATCTGCCGTTAGGGGCGCAATTTATGGCGCTAAATTACAAAACGCATGCAGGCAGCCGGCGCCAACGTTTATTGATTTTGCCACTTGCAACAAGGCGGTGCCGCTGCGGCTTAGTCGCCTGCAACTCGCCCGCAGGCTTTTAGCCACAATCCGACCGCAACAACAGCCGCTGCATCCACAGCTGCTGCTCCTGATTATTATTATTGTGTGTTATTATCTAATGTTATTAATTTATGCGTTGCATTCGCTGACTAGATTATCTGCTGACCGCAGCAACAGCAGCTGCTGGTCTCCACTTACCACGACTGTCATCACTGCTGCCATCGAACTCCCAGGTCTCCTCGGCATCGAAGTGCGCATCGCCGCCGCGCCCGACGCCCGGATAGAACGCGTGCGCCAGCACCTGGCCGGGTCCATCGAACTTGTATCCATCGCCATGATCGCGCCTGCAGGAGGGAGTGGGTAGAAGAAGAGTTAGTCGAGTCGAGAGTTAGTCAGCCAGAGCCTTGATTAGTTAATTCAATGGCATCGAGGTTACGAGCTTGCGAAAATAAAGCTTATCTAGGAAAAAGCGACACAACAGCTGCAACATAAACTCTTTGATTTGAAATTGGTATCCAGCATGCAGCTAAATCTCCTTCGCTTCTGCTGCTGTCGTCATCGTCGTCTTCGTTGTCGTTGACGTTGTCGTTGTCGTCATCATCATCATTGGTTTCATGGTTTAATACTTGGCTTATTTATCGTTGCCTGGTTTTAAGTGCAGTTTTATGGGCTGCCCATCTTTATGGTACTACAGAATGCTTCTTTTTATGGTCTACATGAGGTGGCTGAGCAAACAACCTTCACCCACCCACCTACTGCTCACCCACTTTCCACGCGCCACTCTCCACCTTCCACATTTCATACGCACCGTGCAAAGAGAACCTGTATATCCGCCTGATCGCTGTACACTTCACGGAATGTCAGCTTCGAATTGGTCTCCCACACGCGCAGCGCCCGAGACACCATGGTCCGAATTTTGTTCGCGTCCGGCATCGATTGATTCACCAAACTGAAAACGGTAAACGGGAAAAACAGGTATTCGTTACATTTGTATGCAAGTAAAGATTTAAGCACAAATATGTACGTATTTTATAAGAATATGGTAAAGAATTAAAAATATTTTGCAATGATTCCTTTAGGGTAAAAATCGAATCATCTGAAATGTCTCTTGAATCAGCAGAGCTGACAATGCACATATAATATCAAATGGGCATAACTCAGTGCAGTTTCATTGGAGTGGTCAAACAAAAAAAGATAAGGATGGAATCTGAAAATTTAAAAATTCCTTAAGAATTGTCGCATATTTTAAAGAATTTAGTTTTGTCTCGGCTGGCAGCGCTTTAGCACTGGCTTCAAGTAGAGCTCATGCTTCAAAGCGGACACCCACACAGATTCCTTTCTTATGCATAGTTAAACACACAAGCTACACCCACACACGCACACTCTCTTCCGGGCAGTCACACTACAGCTGGGAGCGAACCGACTTTACACATTGTTTGCTGACAATTTGGCCTACAACTTTGTCTCAACGTGGTCATGTTGCAAAAGATACAAACCGCTAATATGGGGGTACGACAAACACACACAGAGACACTCTCTACACTCGGCCGAACACACTCACACACACACACATACACACACATCGACACATCTACCCTCACATGCACATAACTTTCACTTTGTGATGCAAAAATGTCTTTTGGTTGGTCGCATATACAAGGTTCGTTGAAGTGAATCGCTGGGGCGGCTACCTGCTGCTGGGCGTGGCACTTTCATTTAGTTTACTATTTTTTTGATAAATTCTGTGCCGCAAAGTTGGCCGCAAATTTACCTGCACCGGGCACAGGCCAGTGCACAGCGAGCAACTCTTCACTTACGACTTTGACTCGATTTTCCCGCTCCGGCAGGAGGCGGAAAGTTTGCAGCTAGCCCACACCATCCGGTCAGGCCACGCCCCCCACCCCCTCCCACTAGACAGTGTTGGTCTCTATATAGGCACCATGTTTTCCACATTTTATGCAAATTAGTTATGTTTCTTTTATGCCATTGCAGCCCGGGCGTTGCCGTCTGTTGCTCTTGACTAAAGCAAAAAGTTTTCGCCCCTCTTTTGTTATTTCATATCGTTTTTTTGTTCTTTCCGAATACCCTGCATCCCAAACAAAATGGACAGGAAAATAGGTTTAATTAAGTTTAAAGATGTTTTTAACTCTAGATGATTCTTTGTTAATTCTCTTCGCTGTATATAATTCTATTCAATGAGAGAGTATAAGACTTGAAAATGTTGAGATTGGCATTCAAATCAATAATATCAATATAATGTTTCGTATATCTTTGGGTAGTATCTTCAATTTGTAAAATTTTGTATTATTTTTTTAATGATATTTTATATTTGATTATATTCATTATTTCCTGATAAAATTATTGTCATATAAATCTTATGCTATAAATTTATTTTTAACAGGGGTCAGATATTGCTGAGGTATATTATATTAATTTTTACTACTGGCATGACGATCTTAATAATATTAAATAATCAAAATATGAATGTAAACAAATTTAATTTGAGATAGAGATAGATTAACTTTAAGGTGTTTGAAATCTTTTTTAAGCTTTTTCAAGGGTATCTTATCATCAGTCAAACTTGGCTTTAGCACACTTTCTAGCTCACTTCGTGTGCGTGTTTGTGTGTGTGTGTGTGTGCGTGTGGTTTGCACAAGGTCCCTCGGCCTGAGCTAGCAGAAATTTCGCCTGGGCTGCTTCGTTGTCCTCTGTCCTCTGTTTCTTAATTTCACATCTCTTTTTTAACTTTCTTTTTTCTATTTATATTTCCCTGCAGCGTTTAGTTGGCTTTTAGTGTTGGCTTTTGTGTCGGCCAACTAGTCGTAGTTTCTTATTTGCAGCGTAGCTTGCGTATGCGTGCTTGTGGCCATTTAAGTGGTTCAGCTTAGGTTCAGGATGCTGCTGCTGCTGCTGCTGCTGCTTCTGCTGCTCGTACTGCTGCGGGTGCCCCTGCTGCTCCTACTGCTGCTGCTACTGCTGCTGCTGCTGTCCACATTTTCCAATCAAATTGTGCGTAACGATTGCCCATCTGACACGTCGCTAGGCCAAGGCATCGCCTTTGCATCTGCATCTGCATTTGCATCTGCATTTGCATTTGCCTGCGCTGGAATCTGATTCGGAATCTGGGCCTCTTACTGACTGCAACATCATTAGCCACACGTACGTTGGATTGGCATGGGCTAACAGGCTGAGTAGGTTGGACTCTGGTGTCCTTTTTGCTGTGTCCTGTCCGTGTCCAGTTCGTGTCGCAGTTCATTTCCATTGGGTTACGACTTTGACTGTGATTCCGAGCGCTTTGCCCAAAACGTGCCCAATTGCAACGCCATTTGTTTGCTTAGTTGTTGATCCGGTTGTCCAGGCAGCGGACAACTAGCAGACGGCTGGCAGCAGGAGCAGTTGCTGAGCCTTCAGCCTGCATCCTGCTGCCTGCTGTCTGCTGTTCACGCGACTCGTTTACTATTTGCTCAGCGTTTGCTGTTGCTTTGCAATGGCAAATTAACTGCACTACGTACAATTGCCTCAAGTCCCCCTTCTCCGGCTTTTTCTCTTTTCCTGCACTGAGTCGTCCCTTTGTCGTGCTAATTTCATTGCTGCTGCTCTTGGATTTAAATGCGAGCCACTGCACTGCGTCCTGTCACGTAGCCATTTCCAGCTGCAACCAGAGGAGTCGCCGTAAAAGCAGTAGCAGCAGCAGCAGCAACAGTAGCCTCGGTTTGACCTTTGTTTGTCTTTGCCATGTCACTTTGTGTGCCGAGCATTTAAATTATTATGAACCCTGCCTCGCTAACTGCCACCCCAGGGGCGAGCGGGTGGGGCGGCGAGTCGAGGACATGCCAATGCAGACTACCTTTGGAGCTCAGCAGCTGTTCCTGCTGTTGGCAAACGTGTGCTTTGGCCAATTTGTTGCCTTACACGTAAAACAAACTGAACAATTAGCCAAATGGCTGCGCGAGTTCATTCGCTTCACTTCATGTAGGCTGTGGCCAGGTGAGGCAAGTTGAGGCGCGGCGAGACGAGACGAGGCGAGCAAAGGCAGACGTCCTGCCCTTTCAGTGGGCCAAGTGGCTGGGCGTGGTGCCCTGCATATGGACTAAGCTGCCAGGGCCATTCGTGGTTTACCGTTCGTTAAAAAATACCCACAACATTTCAATGTGAAATACCTTTTGAACAAGCTTATCTCTCATGAAGTATTGGCTTGAGTTTCGATTTTTTAATGTATGTGAATGCGGGTGCTTGGGGGAAATTCGTTGAAAAAATGTTGAAATTTGATGGCTAAATTGTAACAAGATCAAGGAGTCCTGTACATCCGCTGCACTCACATGGCTGCTTTCATAAGTATAGTTAATAATTAATTAACATTTTTATTGATGTAATGAATTGAGTAATTAAATAAAATGATGTAAGTATTTATAATGGTGAGCTAATAATACAAAAGTCATCTTAACCGCAAATCGACTCAAGAAATAGTTGTAGCAATAATCGGTTTGAGTAGTTCTTATCACGAAAGCGAAAGCTTTAACAATTAGGGAATTTATTATTGTAATGATTAAGATGATATCAAAAAAAATCACATAGGTACTTTGAAGCGCTAAGCAGCATTTTTAGCTGTAAATAGCCCTTATAAATACTTCTTATGAAGAAAGCAAACCAATACAATATAAAGCAAATTCTATATTTCATGCCTGGAATCGACAGCAATTAGCTTCATCAGTCTATTCACAGTTCCTCTTGCAATAATTGCAACAATTAAAATTGTCATTAAGGGTAATCAAGGGTAATGTATATTTGCCAGCGCTTTCCTCAACAAATTCAAGTAGGAATTATTTTTAGCAGTGGATTTCACAGCTTTTATAAACATTTCCTATGTCGAAATCGAAAAAGTGTATTCAATTCTATTCGAGCCCGTGACACTTGAAGCAGACAGTAATGCGGTACATCGTTCTGTCACTTGCAAAGTTTAAGAACAAGCCGCGACATAAAGTGCACATCATGTAATACCTTTTATATCTGCGACTTGCGAAGGCAACATTAATGGCGCTTGTGGTGAGCCGTAATCCAGTTTTTATTTAAGCGTTAAGCGAAACGCTTTTGGCTTCTCGAAAAAATCAGCTCAGCTTACACTTGTATATATACGTAAGTACATACATATATGTATGTATGTAAGAGGCGCATTAAGCACTTTGCCAACTCATTGAATGTCTGATAAGTTCGTGGAATCGAGTTTTAAGAAGGCAACATACGATATCTACTAAAAACGAAAAACTCTTAATAAAAATTATATAATTTACACGCACACATGCACGTACACATACACACACACTCACATGCCTGACTTATATATTTATGGCTGGCCATACAGTGCCTTCAAAAAGTTTGCAAGACGAAAAATGGCGTTGCTTCCCAGTTTGAACTTTTTGTATTCTTTCTTTTCGCTTCATCTTCTTCTTCCTCTTTTTTTATCTACGGATTTTTGGAGCCGTAACTGAGCCGGATTCGACGTTTTTAATTTGTGCGAAATTAAGCAAAAAATAAACTCATTTTGTTAGTTCGCTACGCTCTTGGGCAAACATTGCCGAAAACTTTTTCGATAGCTGTCTGACAACAAAACCAAAAACCCAGCGAAACTTTTCACGGAAGTTTATAGGGTAGAAAAAAGGCAAGAAGGAAGCCAACTCTCCGGCGAAAATGTGCACAAAATTGTCTCCGCTACGCGGAGAAAAATCTATGCAATTCAGGAAAAATTGCAAAATGCGCCACCGCCAACGCCAACGCCAAAGCCAAAGCCAAAGCCAGCGTTGTCTACGCTTGCAGTCGGCGGCCAGAGGTATTTTCTATTACGCCATCTTACGATACCCTGTAGGTGTTACTCAATAGCATAGGGTATATGCTGATGTGAGATGAATTGACTTTCTTTGACAAAGGCAAGTCTTTTGCTCAGAAATGATTTTA